TTCTGGTTGTTTCTGAGGTCAACTGCACCTTCAAAATTGCAGTTATTCCAAACACTGTAAAAATAAACCAAAAGTTCTGCTGAACTGGACAAACACCAAAGACCTACAGCATTATCCTGCCCCACTCCCTTTAACACGTTGAGCTTCCCAAAGCTGCTGAGCCGTGCGGAGACAGGAGACCACCTCAGATACATACCCACTTGTTGAAGAAAGACACAAAGCCATAACCCTTGGATTTTCCAGTTGCTGGGTCTTTCACCACGCGTGCATCACTGTGGAGGAAAGCAGAGAGACCAGGTAAATTTCACAGGCAACGCCCACCCAGGCAAACTCGTGCTGAGAAAACACTACTGTAAGCCGTCTGAAGCATTCAACCCATGAGTCAGCAACATTTCTAGCGATTCTGAAGAGCTACATGCAGTCAGATTATGGGTTGTACTTTAATCAGTCTTAGAAAAGTGGGTCCGCACAAGTCTGAAAGGTACTGAAGCTGAACACAATGACGGTCATCAATGGCAACCCTTCACATGGCACGCTACTCAGTTTGGACGGTTCAAAGCACACGGATGCATTTTGTGGGTTACATGAACCTTCACAGTGAGCAGTGCGCTACAGCCACCTGATCATGGGCTATGAAAATACAACAGGGAACCAGTAAGATTCATGGGTCCCATTTAAAATAAAGCAGTAATGTTTGATTTGAATGTTGGCTGTTCTTCATATTTCTTGGGCACCCCCGAAGACTGGGTGTAGTCACATCTGATGTCTGCAACCTCAAATGACTTAGTAGGTATGTTATGCGTAAACGGAACACTTACGATGTTCTCCCAAAGGGCGCAAAGGCTGCTTTTAGGTCCTCAGTGGTGATTTCAGGGCTGAGGTCTCCAACAAAGACATGGAAGTGATCTAGAATGGGGGGGAGGGGGCACAGATTTCCTGAGATCCTCCCATACGCACCATCACCACTGGCATCACCAGTCACCAGCTACGGGGGAGGCGAGACACACTTACTGCTCGTGTCTTTCTTCTGATTGCTCGGAGTCGTGGCCCAGTTCACTTTGACTTCCTGGAAAAAAGGGAGACAACAAGGCAGCAAAATTAAGCCTCTGAGGCGCAGGAGGGCACAGCGCCATCTATGGTTTTGTAAAGCGAAACCGCGTGACACAGAGGGCGGTGTCTGGGTTCAGTGACGAGGATGAGGAGGGAGGAAAAAAGAAAAAAACAAAAAACAAAGAGAGGGACAAACCTGATTACACTCAACTGTTTAAAAATGTAAAAATGTATAGAGAATATTTTTAAAAAATCTAATAAGTAAAAAGGTCTAAATAACAAGGAACTTACAAACGAGTGAAATTATGAACTTGTATTACTCCTCAAATGGTCCTTCAATACCTGTTGAGGATAAAATATTTACACTGAATAGATTTGTACTGAGGGTAAAGTGACGCAGAAACGCTAAGAAAGAACAAGATAAATATATAGAGAACAGGTCAAGATCGCTCCCTCAATTCCAGCAACATCAATAGTAAAGTTAGAAGTGCATATCCCCACAGACTAACAACTTCATGTTTTTCTATAAAGGTTTTACACAAACAAGATCTACACACCAATGAGCAATCAACTAAAATTAAATTAAACCTGCCATTTAATTCAAGGGGGACACCACTCCCACTAAGTAACTGCTTCTCCGCATATGAAATTTCCCTAAAGAGGTCTGACGGCCTCCAAGCTTCCATTAGATGTGCTCTCTGGATGGACAAAAGCACTGCTAGGACTACTGGGGACTAATGACACCCTAACGCCCATGTCAGAAATAGTAAATGCATGTGTGACATTAGGAGCACAGGTCATGACGCTTAGGAGACAGGTCTAGAACCACAACATCCATGGTTACAGAGGAAAGTCATGGAGAAGTGGGCTCTGTACCCAAAACCACCTGCTTAGTCTTGGGGCGCCTGATTGGCTCATCAGCCAAGTGTCCATCAGCAATAGGTAAGTGACAAGCTGCTAATGATACAGGGACACGCTTGTCAGAGGGACAGTGAACACACCTCCTCTTTAGTCATTGGACCTGTCATTAATAAACCTAATTTTATATAACGGCAAAAGAACATACATGTTCCCAATCCATTAAAAAAAATTGTGTGTCAGGTACACTACGGCAGTGTAATTCTACAGATTTTGATCAAGAAAGTTTGCAAACAGAACTATTCTTGAAAAATTGTATATTTTTGTACGAAAAAAATCTACATACAAAAACATATTGAGCCTGTGAAAACCTGATTTCATCCAGCTCATCTCAAGACTTTTTCTTCCACAATGTAAAAATCCAGAAGTTCAGAAACTCACAGCAGGGGGCACAAGGTACAGGTGATTTAAGAGTTACGATTAAATGTGAGAGAATATTACCTGATGCCTATGATGAGGATGACACGGTCTGGACTAGCATTCCATGAATTTTAAAGTTAAAAACAACGGAATAGCACTATCAAGTAAAAGTCACTTACCTATTAGCATCACTGGTTAAGCTATTAAGCCTACGGCAATACGGCTCGGGCAAATAAGAAATAACAGTGTGTCTATAGAGGGTGCAACCCACATTCAGATCTAAACACATCTGAAGACACATTACTGTCGACTGTAAGCTTTAAACAAAGAGGGGTCCACTGGAAAAGCTCCACTCCCATTGCCATGGCGACACAGGCCTGCCCCCACGTTTCCCCAACTCACCCAAGAGATACGATAGCTTACCTTACCCATTATCTTACGGCCGTTCATGGCAGCCAGGGCAGCAGCGGCGTGTCTGTGCTCATAAAGCTCCACAAAACAGTATGGGTCATTGCCTGCAGTCTGGAGGAAGGGAACGGGACAGTTACGGTAGAGCTCATCCAGGGCTGTAGGGGGCACCACAGTGCTTAAGGAGCTGTTCTCTTCTACAGGGTGACCAGCCTTATACGTGACACTTAAATGTGTATAAATGAAGCAGAAACCGAACTCTCCGCGCTGCTGTTTGGTAACTGAATACCACAGCTGTAAAAAAAAAATCTTAACAGCACAGAGAAGAGAGGGAGGTGATCCCAGCAGCGGCCACAAACACACCCACCCACCCACCGCTCCAGCGGGTATCAGCATCCATGCCACTCACATCTGATATCATTTTGCAGCTCTTGCAGGGTCCGATCTGGCTGAAGAGCTGCAGGATGAGGGCCTCAGTCACATCCCGGGACAGGTTCCCAACATACCTGTGGCACAGGGAGGTCGAGCTCAAAGGGACGATCCGGTGTTCTTCCACGTTCACCATTCAACCCCAAAACATCTCACACTGAGATCTCATACTTGACAACTTCAAGACTGCACTGTCACACATAAGGCAGAGTCAAACAATGACTAATGCAGGCAAAACCAGGGCGAACTCTTAAATTGCGAGTAACAGGCCTGAAACTGAACACAGAAAGTACATCATGACCTATCTGGATTAAAAAAAAAGAGAAACTATGCTGTACTGGAATGAAGACACAGGGAGACTGGTTAACAAGCCATCACCTTCACACACAAAAGGCGTGTTTAAAGACCACACTGTGTAAGGGTTTAATAGCATAACATCACAATAGCACACCGCCCCAGCATAGCCACATGCTCCCACTGTTTTATTTCGTAATCCTTATCCAAAGATAAGTCGAATTTGTCACTCGACGGTTTAAATAGCTGCTGATCCGCATTTAACCAGCAATCTTACTCAAGATCGCCTCTTATTTAGCACGGCTTCGCCAACAGCATAGCCGGGTTCATTCTCCATTTTACACGAATTGCCACGTAAACACACACATCGTTTTAATGGAGCTGGAGCTCAGGCGGCGCGAAGGGACCCCGGGTACGCTGAAGGGTCAGCAGCCTGGCCGGCGGCTTCTTGTAGGACCGCCGAGCGGCCGCCGCTCGCCTAGCTAAAGCCGCCTAGCCTGCCGGTTACTTACAGCGTCTTGGGCTGCTCGTCGTCCATTGTCGTGCTTTTCAAATACCGAGCCCCGAGAGGAGGGAAACACCCGGGGAGTACTGTGCTGTGGTACTGCGTCGCAGTGTTTAGGTTTCGCTGTATTCCTCCGGCCGCAATTCGGTGAATAATATGCAGCCGCCTGGCTCCTCTCCCCCGGTCACGGACAAAAGGGAACCAACAGAAGATGGCGGCGAACTCGTGCGCATGCGCGGAAGAGCTCCGCTCGCCTCTACGGCGCTTGTTTTAACGGGCTTTAAAACGGAGCTGATTGAGGTTAAATAATAATTTCACATCAAAACGACTGAGTTTGCAGGACTTCAGCTTGGCCCTGATCTTAAAACAGCTGAGGAAATTTTCGTCACTGTTGGATGTACATGCACTTTTGAAATCAGTTCTGATTGAGAAACCGGATTTGGACATTGCCGTCTTTTGAAATGTGATCTCTCACATCTCAGATGATCATCTTAAAATGCGTGCGCCGCCCGGGAATCGAACCCGGGTCGCAAGAATGGGAATCTTGCATGATACCACTACACCAGCGGCGCTTTGGTGACCATTTTTTCAGTCTTCATTTATAATAGTGTCTTATATAAATTTTAACATTGCAGGTGACGTATGTATGAAAATAACACAATCCACACTCCTCTTCTTCGAGAATAACATCAGGCATCCGCCCAGCTCATTAGTACGGAAGTGATATCAACCCACATCCCACTTAATGACCATGGGAATAAGGTCAAACCACATTCCGCTCCACCACCAGGGGAGTAATATCAACACACAGTCCACAACGCTATTTTGGGAATAATCTTGCCTTATTATTATAACGTGACCTGGAGACACACAATGCGACTTGTTTAGCCTTAGTTGGCTCTGAGCTTGTTCCTAACAGGAAATGAATTGTGATTTCTAATCACTGTTTACCTGCTTTTCATACTTGTCATGTCACTTTCAAATATTTTTCTTCTTAGTTGAGTGATAATAATTCAGATTGTGGTGTAATCTTATTAAATGTAGTGTCGATTGCATACATAATAAAAACATTTCGCTGACATTGTGCTCCAAAAATAATCGGCACCAACAGAATTATTCTTGAAAACTACAAATACCAAGTGCAGTACATTTTAGTACAAAAACGAATTCCAGATACAAAAATGTATAAACGTATAGCCTGTGAAAAAATGATTTCATCCAACTCATCTCAGACTTCTCCCACAACGTAATACTCCAGAAGTTCAGAAAGCCAAACTCACAGCAGGGCGCACAAGGTACTGGTCATTCGAGTTACAATTAAATGTGACATATGATGAGGCTGCTCAGTGTTATTGATGATTCTAGCTCTGAACTGCAGAGGGCGCTACAATATCATAAAATAATATGCAGGTGGAGTATTATTATTAACTGTTACCCTAAGACAAAAACCAATGCCTGCTCGTGGCATTTCGCATACAAGTATACGCTACCTGGCCAAAAAAAGAGTCACTGCTTGAATTTAAATCAGCAGGTACTTAAAAGCCAATGATAGCATCTTTATTAAAGCTTAGCAACGTTATGCAGCAATAAGGTGAAGTCAGCTGAATACCTGAACCTACTCAATAGCCAGGTTATCCTATCAATAGATATTTTTCTTACCTAAAGGCATGGACATATTCCAAGATGATAATGTCAAGATTCATAGGGATCGAACTGTTAGAGTGGTTTAGGGAGCGTAAGGAATCATTTTCACATGTGAATTGGGCAGCACAGAGTTTTGACCTTAACCCCATTGAAAGTCTTTGAGATGTGCTGAAGAAGACTTTACGGAGTGGTTCAACTTTCAACCTGTTCAATACAAGATCTTGATGAGAAATTAATGCAAATCTGGATGGAAAAAAATGTTGAGATGCTACATATGCACATGGAAATGCATTAACGAATGTGCATCGCAATCAAAGTTAAAGGCGTCCCAACAAAATATTAAATTGTGCAACTTTTTTTTTTGGCCAGGCAGTGTAGAACTAGTTGAATGATTGCCTGAGGTGCCAAAGAGGGCTAAAAGGCATTGCTAGCAATGTACTGGGCATGTGGGGTGTTTTGGGTTTGGACATCATTTAACAGTTTTTGGCCTGGCCATTCACTCTACCGTACAGAGGTTGGGCCTGCTGAAACACTCTACCATAAAGCCTATATTTTCAAGCCTATTGTAAATGATCATATGAGGACTTAGGTAATCAGAACCAGAATCAGGTTTATTTGGCCAAGTATGTTCACACGTACAGGGAATTTGCCTCCAGATGTCAGCAGGTCTCATACAGTAGATACATGCACAGTTAAGGTAAGACAAGACAATGGTGAAGTGCAATCTGGCTGTTATATGCAATGTGGATGTGTACAAGAAGTCAGATACTAGAGGAGGTGGGTCAAAGCAACTGGGGGATGGGACTAAGACATCTGATTGGCTGGTCCCACCTCCTCTAGTTGTTTGGATGCACCTTCTCTATAATCTGATTATTTATCTCTCTCAACCAATAATTTTCAATCATTTTCCCTCCTGACAACAGAGCATTTTTGCGTAAGTAAAACTTACACAAACAGGATGGGGATCCCCTACATTCCAGATCACATTAAGAATAGTTCATAGATTGTAGTGTGCTGTTATATATGGCCTTAATGTCTACCTTGTGTTTCCAGTTCATGAATTGTTTCTGCTCCAGCAGCAGAAACCTGGCAACAGTGGGGATTTGTGATGTCGTGCCAGGTGCCTGCACTGAGAAGAGTGCTCTTGCTGATGAGCAGAGCACAGGAACAGCTTTGTTAGCTCACCCTCCCCTCAGGGACGAAGACTGTCTGAGAGTCATTTAAGGCAGCCAGCGTGTGAAGGGCTTTGCGTGTAGTGATTACAAATGAAAAGTCTGCTATTTTTCTTTGAATATTCTCAGATGGTGTTTTACGTTACAGGTGTCTGAATACAATCTGAAGTAAATCAGGTAGCACAGGTTCAAATGCTGCTCATAACTTTCCCTGTGTCCACATGGTTTTCTCTCCTGAAGTTCAGTGTTTGTTCATAAGGCTATTTTGACTTGAGCCATAATTTTAATCTTGATACAGTCTAGTACTCAAAATAAATCACTGTTAACAAGAGGAAAAGATTAGCTACAAATGGAAGGAAACGTCACTCCTGTACACACCTTTCCTCGTTGGTGTTTTTTCCTTTCATTTGTCATTATATCAGGAAGCGATTTGAAAACTTGGGTCAAAAGACAAAAAACACAAGAGTTATCTGCTTCTATTTCCTCCTCACAGGAGACCAGAAAATGTGTAAAAATTGTACTTGTAAGCAGAGAATGCAGCCAGAAGAAATTGCACAATGTATAACAGGAATGTCTCCATCAGTGACAGTGTCCCTGGATGCTTTCACTAGACCAGAATTAGAGTTTAGTTAGGCCTTCTATTCCTTTCATTGCTGTCATTGAACCTGTTAGATGAACCTTCAGAGAACAGATTAGAGCAATCAGTACAGTCAGACCTTGGACAATTGCAAGGTTAGGTTCCAGAACCCGTCGTGAATGAGAAGGATTCGTGGATGTTTGATAGAGTCACTAAAAATGGTAATATGTGCTCATTTCTATAGTTTAAACCCTAAATATGACCTCAGTCATGCTCCCAAAAGACTTTAATTTCATTTAAAAGTTAGTTTAATACATTACCTTTTAAAAAAACAAAAGTTTGATGAAAAAATAGAGTACAGTATCGCCTAACGGATATTTGTCACACTAACACATTTACAGTACAGTATACTAATGTTACCCCTACTAATTCATAGAACACGGCATTGGCTGCCATTTTCTTTTGCATTGACAGTAAGGTAAAATGAGTAAATGAACAGGACTGTAAACTTATTGACAGAAGTCATATACGTAACCAAGGTACAATTCAATAAAATACGTAAAGGGAACATGTACATGTAATTTTCGCTGATCTGTGAAGTCGCGAATCATGAAGCGCAAATGCATGAGGGCTGACTGTATATATGTCTCATTTGCTGTCATATATTATATTTCAGGATGTGCTGTAGTTTTAACTACCTGCCAAAAATAAAGCAAACTTGAAGACGACTGTCTTTTGGCACTGATTTTACGTGATATGCCAGACATTTACCAGTGCCTGAGACCAGTGTTTCCCAATCCGCTCCTCGGGGAACCACAGTTGGTCCGTGTTTTTGTTTCTTCCGAGCTCCCTGCCAGACAGTCCACATTTTTGCTCTGTAGAGACCCCACTGGTTTGTGAAACAACAACTGCTTGCACGTCATACGACCACACAAGACCTTTGACGCAGCACTTTTTCTTTATATTAAGTACGTGTGCATGTTGGGGTACCTAAACTTTACAATACAAAACATGGTATGGAAACAAACCCTTTCTTAGACCACTGTCTTACACATGGTAAAAGTGTCAGAAGACGTCCTGTAACTGGTTATCAGTCAGTCTGGTCAGCAGTGAGAGTCAGCAGAGTCAACAGGGAGTCGGATCTTTGGAGTCAACTGTGAAGTAGGAAATTTTTTTGTTAAACATAAAGAGTGTCGAATGCTTATAGTGAGACTTCAAGTCCCCAGGTACGGATTGCCCTCTGGAAGAGGCTGCAGGTGTCTCCAGACCTGTACCACTAAGCTTACGAACAGTTTCTCCCCAGGGTAATCAAGCAGATGAACTTCTGCTAACTCACACTATGCTCTGCAGAACACAGTGCTCATTGTACTGTGCATACATGCACATACTGCATCTGTCTCTTCTTAACATGCCTCAGCACCTGTTCATGCACTTATAAATAGCCAATCCTCAGTACTCAAGAATATCCTTCTGTCCTACACTCTTTTGCCATGCAGCTATGCTGCTCCATTGAGCAAATTATCATACTGTCTGGGTCAGTATTTATTACTACAGCACTAATTCACTTTAAATTGTGAATAATAGAATATCTTTTCCATATACAGTACAATGAAACATTGTGTGCTTCTCACCAAAGCAATAAAGGATAAATAAAATATGATAAAAACAAAACAAAATAAAAAATAAATACAAAAATAAAATACAAAATAATAAACATTATCGGCTGAATGAAAAGCTACAGTGGAGTAACAATCTTTTAGCAGCATTAAACAGTGCATTAAATCAGCAGCAGTCACATGGATAAGAGCTAGCAGCACTATAGACAGGGGCAGGCTGGCAGATGGGCACAGCTCGTGGGGTTATTTCAGCTTGTTGCCTGGTTACGATGATTGATGCCTTTTGGGGTCAAAGCTTTTCGTCAGTCTGGAAGTGCAGGAGTAAATAGCCGGAAATAATGGACGTTACGGTTTGATACTTGGTCAATTATGTTTTATGTTTGCATACTTCCTTCTCATACATTCTTTCCTCACATATTACCTATTTTGTGTGACACATTCCATTGTATTGCGTCGTCTGCCATTTCTTACACTGTTCTTTGGAGTTTACACAAACTTACAATTCATTGTAAACCTGCTTTGCAATTGAATTGAATTGAATGTATTAATAATTATATGGTGAGTGCAGGCTGTGGATGGGACTAAAATCAATGAACCCCAATGTCCTTTGGTGCTTATTGTGTTTTTAAAATGTGATTCTTCTGCCAATGCTTATTTTTACTCTAGATGTCAGTAAGAGCTTTGTTAAAAGAAAACCTGATAAATATACATATTAAAATTCTGTCTGTATGTCGCTTTGTAGCCACTCACTCTCGTTAAATCATATCCTTGTAGGTTTTCATGTTACATTCCCTTTCTTTTAGGAAGCATACACTGTCTCTTGTAAAATATTTGGGGTTTTAGCATTTATGGGAAAGCTGGGCTGAGTGTCCCGGTTTGCTCGCTGGATGTGAACCTTAATCAGGCTCGCTGGATCCTCCTACCATCTGCAGCCGTCATGTGTCTTCTGGGATCGACTCCAAGCTTATGAACACAAATAAATGGGTTGTTTACAGTTGCTGAGTTTTATTCTGTTGTTTTACACCCACTTATTTACGACAGAAAATGGGTGACATTTCCGACTGGGAAACCTTCAGTTACTCAATGATTTTAATCTCGTCCAAGCATATCAAGGGATCGGACTCATACATAAGACCAGAGGTGAATAGTTCACATGCTGACCTGTGTTTGGAAGCCGTAGAGAGCAACAGCCAATTGGTGAGTGTGGCAAATAACCACGGTAACCCCACTGCCCATTCACTGCCCTTTATCACTGTACATGCTGTCCCCAAAACTATACTCTGCTCTCTCAGCACTCCTTTCCTCCCCACCTGTTTTTGGTGAGCTCCAGGATCCAACCTGAGCTCCTTAGTTGGCAGAAATGAGCCTTTAAAACCCTTAACCCTTAAAACCCTTTAAAACCCAGGGGCAGTTAGTTACCTTTGGCGGTTCATCACTGCCTGCTTTTACTATGTGAGAACTAGTACAGCGACTGACAGGCAATAGGCTAAAACAGGCTGTGAATAATGAAATGCACCCGGCCCGGTCAGCATGACTCGCCAAGCCCCCCCCCAGTCAACAAACTACACAGATGACAGTGAACTGGCACAGTGTGGCCACTTGAATGGTTACACTGGTGTATATACTGCTATACTGTTTTAATATAATACAACAGAATAGTGATACTTTATTCACCATCATGGGGGAATTCTCTCTTCGCCTATCACATCTTGCTCTCTGCGTGACACATTTACAGTTGAGAGCAAGCTGGGGGGGTCACAGCACAGATTCAGCCAGTGTGCAGTGCCCCTGGAGCAACTGGGGCCTTACTCAGGGTCCCAACAAAGGCATTGGTCTGCCAGCCCCAGGATTCGAACAAGTGACCTTCTGAGTCCTGATCCCCCAAATCAACAGTGCATATAAAACATACCAAAAAAAAATTTATTCCTACAAATACCCAAAGAACTGTGCAGCATTTGATGGAAAATGATTGAGGCAAAGCTCAGATTATACATAACTTCACATGGTAATAAATATCCCGTTCCTCTAACTTACTGCAAACTTACTTAATATCAACATTTTATTTAACAGGTTATATACACTGTACATTCATTTAAGTCAAGATTTCCTGTAGAACTCATTTATAGTAAAAGTATTGATAGAAGTAGTCCTAATATTCAGTTTATTTGGTCCTTCTAAAAGAATTTTAAAATATCATTATAAGCATCACAAACTCAACAAAAATATTCCCAAACCCCAGCTGGAATCCCATGATTTAAAAAAAAAAACAGAAATCACCAAGATACTAGATCATAAAGACTATCTCGTTGTCACTGGGGCTCTCCCTAAGTGTACATGGCTCCATGCAAATTCTCCAGTCTGTGCTCCATCTGCTTTCTTCGCTCCTAAAGCACCAGAGAGATCACAAAGAGAGATATGCAGAACCAGGGGGCTAAGTTGTTCATCCAAACCCCACTAGTAAACAGACAGACATGCCAAGTATGCATCCTGCACCTCCGGGTGTCTGGTGCGCTCACCTTGTCTTTCCGGAACTCCTCATACTCCTGGTTGTCTGTCGGCAGCTCGAGGCGACAGAGAGGACAGGAGTTCGTCTAAGAAAAACAAGCAGGAGGCTGGCTCAGATATATTTGGACTGACTATATCCTGAGACCCACATGATGGACACTGACACATTACCCTCATTACTAAAACCAGAGGGACAGGATGAAACTCAATACTTTGACTGCCGACTGCCAATTTAGTTCATACCTTTCCCAGCCATGGCAGGATGCAGCTGGAATGAAAAAGGTGTTCACAAGGCATCTTCCTCACGGTCTCATCTTCCTCAAACTCCAGCAAACACACAGGGCATTTCAGACCTCTGTCTAGGTAGAGGAGGACAGGAAGTCAGTAGGACGACACAAGCAGGTAGTGCAGAGATAAAGCAGGCTAGAAACCTGCCACTGTGCTCCTAGGGCCAGGAGTACCTGCTTGCTCAAAGGTGATAACGACCATGGGGAGGTTCTGTACCACGGCTCGGGCGGCAGGAGGCGGTAGGCGCTGGTCCCACTCTGACATGTCAAATGGACCCAGGTCAATGTCCATGCCTTGCATCAGAGACCTGTAGGCATGTCAATCAGGGGTTACTTACACGTGTCCTGGCAATACGTGTCCCGTTTTCACCGGCCCCCAGGCGCAGGTTCACCTGGCCAGCTCCAGCAAAGCATTCTGGCGGTACTGCTCCTCCGGGTTGGTGGGCTCGCAGTTGTGCTCGTCAAAGTAGGACGCCATCCTTCCTTCTGTGCTGAATGCAGCGGCTCCAGGAACAGGCAGAAGCTGTCAGGGACCCTGCAACTGCGGACACACAGGACAGACTGATCGCTGTCCCATGGTTGCCCGGAAAGCGGAATTACGATGAGTAATTAAGCCCGCTTATTAATATCTCATCTCACCAAGAGAAACACACTGTTTTCAACATTATTTAACTAAATTTAAATTAAATTTACCTGATATGAATACCAGTTCCGTCTGTATAATGTGCCGATTCTCACCAGAGCACAGTCATACTTCCGGAATAAACAAAATCCTCTAATCCAGTGGCAGCGTTTCTTTCGACCAATCAACGCGGGGTTTGTTCGAAGAAAGCCAATCGGTGCAAAAAATAAAAATTGCTGCGCGAAGGAAACCAATGAGAGTGGAGGGAGGCTGGTACTTTTTGAGCACGTGACGGTAGTTTGCGTGAAATTAGTGAATTGTGATTGGCGTAGATGCTATCAGTGATTATACGGAGTGTGCGCGGGTGGTGGGTCTGAGCTGCAGCTCAACAGGATTACAATGTAAACTGATTTGGTTAACGTTAGGTATGACCGCTCCTTCAGGTTACCTGTGTGCCGTTAGCCGGCAGCGTGTGACTGTCCTGCTCACCCTGAAGTGACAGGTAGCGTGGAGGTGCTGTGTGTGTCCGACATCCAGGGAACTAGGGAGAGGCTTGGTCAGCTCTGCGGGGTGCCCGTTTTGTTTTAGCTCAAGATCATGTTACAAAGCTCCCCAAATCCACTTCCTGTTTATCAGCCCTGTACGTTTCTTTCCTGAGAATGTCAGACGAGTGAAGAAACAAATTCATTAGATAAACATTAATCAGGGAAAAAGAGATTTCCTGGGTTATACGGTAATTGTTAATACAACATAAATAAAAATAAAAAACATTGTTTTTCACTTAATAGTCATGGTGCACATTTGGAAACAGGACTCTTGTAAGAATCACATAAATGCTGCTTATTTTTTCTAAAAAATGCATATTTTATTGAAAGAAGTCTCAATGAGCTAAAATACACGATTTGTCTCAACAGAAAAAAAGAGAACATTCATATTTGTAATACACACTATTCGTTTTAAAGCATTAGCATAATGTACACTGTGAGTATGGTAAAACAAAAAACGCCCCTTCAGGTGTAGGCGGCCGGCAGCCGTAAAAGGGATTGTGTCCTGAGGTTCAGAGGACGTCATGAGGAACCATTTGCAGGAGAATGCACGTGATGCTCATGGGGGGCTTTCCGGGAAGGGCCCTCCAGTCTGGGAAGACAGCTGCACTTTCACCGTGCTGTGTTTGCTCACCCTCAGCTCAGTGCCTTAAATACCCCCTGGCAAAAGAGCCGGAGGGAGGTTTATTTCAAACTGACAACACCCTATCATTTGGTATGTAAATAACCATTATGTGAATGGCAAGTCCAGTTAGCAGCCAGGATGCAGACAAACAACTTGGAGGATACAGTGTGGGGTGGAGTGACATTACTCAGCCCTTCATTTCTGTGTGACCTGCAAGAATATGAGCATTGTTCTAACCCATGACAGGCATATTTTTGTGTGAAGTCAATTTTTAATGTAATTGTATGATTGTGTGGAGTCTATTTTCTCAAAGAATTTCCCCATTGTGGGATTAATAAAGTCTAATCTAATCTAATCTAATCTAATCTATTTTAAATGTAATTGTACTGTGGAGATCGAACGTTTGGGCACCCCAAGTAAAAATGTGTATTAATGTGCACAAAGAAGCCAAAATAAAGATGGAAACATCCCAAAAGCCATCAAAATGCAAAGTTGGATTTTATTTTCATCATTTAAACTTTCAAAATAACAGAAAACCAAATAATGGTGTCTGCAAAAGTTTGGGCACCCTGCAGAGTTAATACCTTGTACTGCCCCCTTTGGAAAGTATTACAGCTTGTAAATGCTTTTTGTAGCCAGCCAAGAGTCTTTCAATTCTTGTTTGAGGTATCTTCACCCATTCTTCCTTACAAAAGTCTTCCAGTTGTTTGAGATTTCTGGGCTGCCTGTTACGCACTGCTCTTTTAAGGTCTATCCATAGATTTTCAATTATGTTAAGGTCAGGAGAATGTGAAGGTAAACTTTCAGTTTACGCCTCTTCATGTAATCCACCGTTGATTTTGAGGTGTGTTTCGGATCATTATCCATTTGTAGAAGCCATCCTCTCTTTAACTTCAGCTTTTTCACAGATGGCATCAAGTTGGCGTCCAAAATTTGCTGAAATTTTATTGAATCCGTTTTTCCTTCTACTCGTGAAATGTTCCCTGTGCCACTGGCTGCAATACAACCCCAAAGCATGATTGATCCACCTCCATGCTTAACAGTTGGACAGAGGTGCTTTTCATTAAACTCTGTGCCCTTTTTTCTCCAAACATACCTTGGCTCATTCCAGCCAAAAAGTTCAATTTTAACCTCATCGGTCCACAGAACTTGTTTCCAAAATGCGTCGGGCTTGTCTATATGTTCTTTTGTGAACTTCAAATGCTGATTTTTGTGGTGTGGACGTAGAAGAGGTTTTCTTCGGATGACTCTTCCATGAAGACCATATTTGTACAAGTATCCCTTTATAGTGGAGTGGTGTACCACAACTCCAGTGTCTGCCAGATCTTTCTGGAGGGATCGTGCAGTCAGACGTGGTTCTTGATTTGCTTTTTTCACAATCCTGCAAGCTGTTCTGTCTGATATTTTTCTTGGTCTTCCAGTTCTTGCTTTAACTTCCACTGTTCCTGATGACTGCCATTTCTTAATTACATTCCGAACAGAGGATATTGACATTTCAAAACGCCTTGATATCTTCTTATAGCCTTCTCCTGCTGTGTGAGCGTCAACTATTTTCAGTTTCAGTGTTCTAGACAACTGCTTTGAAGAACCCATGGTGCTGATTGTTGGAGCAAGGCCAGATGAGTCTGGGCATTTATAACCTTTGAGATTGACAACACCTGGTCTTTCCACACAATGATTGTGAACAGTCCCTGACACTGTCAGGTCTCAGCTTGCCAAAGGGGGCAGTACAATGTATTAACTCTGCAGGGTGCCCAAACTTTTGCAGACACCATTATTTGGTTTTCTTTTATTTTGAAAGTGTAAATGATGAAAATAAAATCCAACTTTTTTTTGACATATTATAAGAATGTCTCATCTGCATTTTGATGGCTTTTGGGGATGTTGCCATCTTTCCTTGGCTTCTTTATGCACATTAATACACATTTTTACTTGGGGTGCCCAAACTTTCGATCTCCACTGTACAATTACATTTAAAATAGACTCCACACAATCATACAATTACGTAGAAAATTGACTCCACACAAAAATATGCCTGTCATGGGTTAGAATAATGCCCTTATTCTTGCTGTCAACTGTCAGAAGAAATGTGTGGCGTAAGAGAACAATGAACTTGGTATTTCAGTCATTTTAAAATGTAATAATTAGTTAGGCATAATTCTAAGGATGAAACCTTTAAAAAGTTGCAAAACAACTATTACGATAAACCATTACGATATCCGAAAAACATGTCGCAAATTCACATTACGTCAAATGTCAGGCTGCACAACCGGGAAAAGGGCTTTTTATTTAAATGTCATTTTAGAAAACAAGGGTCCAGATGTTACATCATAAAGAAGAACCCAAGTGATTTTCATTCTTGAGTTAGTCTATCTCAAATACTGGCAAAAATAACCATTTTCAACTTCAACTCATGGTTAGGCTGGTACAAATGATGGAAAACCTTGAAAGTATTGTAATATGATAAAAGTCTTTATTTGTTTTTAAAACTGTATGCATAAACTTGATATCAAAAGTTGGTTCAGGTGTCCAAACAGATTGTCTAATTTGAAAAGAGCTTGAAAAAGAAGATGGCACAACAGCTATTAATATTACTACTAATCATAAATGCAAAAAAATAAATAGGAATTAACTATGTCTGATGCATTGTAGACACTTAAATTGGTTACTTTAGGGGGTTGTCATTTGGAAAAAATAATATATTTATTCAACATATAATATTTTTGGCTGCACTGCCTAACATTTTTCAGTTTGTGAAAACCATATTTGTCATTCACCAAACTGTCACTTACGTTTTTCTTTTATTGTACCATTTTAGTGTGATGCAGACATTTGCAGATGCATTTTCACACATGACCCTAGTCTCATTTTTAAAGAACACTCCTGTACGCCTTCAGTAGTTTCTCATATTCCTCCCACAGATTCGGTTCCTCTGAGCTGCTTTCATCTTGCATTTCATCTTTACTGATGCTGTTATTTCTGCAGTGGCGTAACTTCCTCATTCGCTCTCACCACTCCTTCTGCTACTGTATGCTTTCCATCCTGCTCTGCCTTCTGGCAGCTTCTGTTTTTCTTGACTGCTAAAACACAGCTAATGAAAGTAACTTCACTCTCATCTTTAGTGCAACAGAGGTCTTATCCAGTAAATACGTAAATACTTTCCCACTGCTTTTGCGTATTATAAAGCAAAGCAAGTAGTACAGAGAAAAAAAAAGTTAAAAAAAAAATAATCATTGGATGACTGTGTAAAACATAATGTTTTGTGATGGTTAAAACATTCTCAAAGAAAATGTATCACTTTGGCCAGCAAAATACTGTGTGTACATCATTTTGAAATAGACTTCTTAAGAGACAAAATTCTTAAGCAAATGAGAAAAACCGTATAATACTCTATTTCCCCCAAAACCCAAAGCTTTACTGATGTGAGAGCCTTGAAATGCTGAAGTCACACTTGTGTGGTTATTTTTTCTCTCCTGAACTTGACATTAGCATGTCAAAGATCACTGTACATCTTACCTGTACCATGATGCATTAAACCACGTTCTTACACATTAGTATTATTGTTTAATTACTTTCACAAACAGTCAAATCACACCACTAATATTTACAGAGTAGCAAACATTTCTGACCTTCTTACAGCTTAATGCTAATATTGTCCATATGATCATATCTTTGTTTCCTAAACAAAAGTTTACATCATCACCTAAACCACTGTTGCAGGTTGTTGTATAAGACTATTGAATTATTATTGAATAAGTTTATTGAAACCAAAACTTCGTTCTATGCATATTGCAGTTCCAGAAACAATTTATGATCAAGATTACAGAAAAATGAACAAATATGCCAGATGTCAATGTTTGTTCTTCATTTCTGTTGAGGACAAACAAGGCCAGATGTTTGAGACCGGACGCCTTCTGAGTACAGGGAATTGCTGCATTCTTTCGAAATGGCGCAAATATTCACACAAGGACAGTTTTTCTTTTGGAACACGGACAAAAGCAGCAGCTGTAGCCAGTGTTCCATTACGTCCAACGGTCCACGCACAGGTAAGCTGTCAGGATCCTGCAAGTCTGCATGTGACAAAAACACTAATCTGGGCATTGAAAAAAGTGTCCCTCCAAACCTCACATTCCCCAGGGCATATCATACAATTCCCCGTTCTGGTCTATCTCCTCCCGTCATTTCCTGGGTCGGTGTTGTTTGTCTTACTGCTGGGTACTGCAAATATAATGATGACCACAATGATGATCACCAGAAGCACTGCCACCAGGCCTCCTAAGAGCAGCTTCATCTTCATGGCCTGCAAATAGGTCCGCCGCTTCACGGTCGCTGTGGTCTTTTGGAAGGCCTTGCTCTGGAAAGGCACAAACCGAACATCATCAGCTGAGACACTGCGAAAGACGCTTAACAAGCAGCTGACAAACTAGACCTTTTTTTCTGGAACAAAGGCTGATCTATAGGCTTAGCTGTGACTAATACTTCCTGATATTGTCTCGGCCAGTCGGTTCCATTTGATTTGTAATCAGGTGAGTAAGGAAACATCACTAATGATATGTGCACATGTCTAGACTGAAATTCTTCCTGTGATGACACAGGTTTTTCTCCATCTTCTTGTGACAATGGGCCATTCAAGCCACACGCTTGTGACTTTGGGTAGTCAGGAAGCCTTGTGGTGTTACAGAGGAACCGTGTGAGCACGTGGACAGATCCCAGGATGGAGGTATTTTCACTGACGCGCTCCTCATGCCCTGCGACATGGCCGCCGCCGTGCAGATACACACGCCAGGTCGCTCTGACATTCAGAGACAGAGAAACTTGCCTTCAGCTCATTCATCTAGCGAAGAAGGAAATACCTTTCTAAAAATACCTACATAAACTACAATCAGGATGCAAATCGTACATTCTTTTTAACCCCCACCCCACCCATGGTGTATTAATAGCTGCCACTATGAGGGCCTTGGTATAGACCCTGGCAGAACTCCATTGCTGTCGCACCAGGAGACGTGATAATGACGGTTGTGTTTTCGGCCTTTTTGCCGTGCGCAACCCACCTGCACCAGCAGCTGGTCGGCCCGAACCTCCAGCTCCCCCAGTTTGCCCGACCGGTCCTCCACCTTCTGCAGGTTTTCCAGCATGATGCCCTTCACCTCGTCTGCGTCATCCTGGACCTGCTGCAGGCGGCTCTTGCCGTTCTCCTAGAGGGAGGAGATGTGAAGAGACCGGTCGTGAGCTCCAGCGGGTGCCAGGGAGACTGAGCTAAAGCTGCGGGGCCTTGGATGGGGGGGCGGGGTTGGGGGGGGCTCCCTGGAAAGGCTTCCACCGATGGGGGTCCTGGCTGTACCGGCAGTTAGCGGGGTGAGCAAATGAAACCCTGCTGTGGGGGGGGGGGGTTGGGGGGGGCTCGATTTCTCAGCAAGGCCATGGCTAGATGGGGCATAGATAATTTAAGCAATGTCGGCTATGCGTGAAATGTAGAGCATAGCGTTGGGTTGAGCATTGGGGGGCTGAGGTCTCCACCCATTTAAGGGAGTCCAGTGGGTTGTATTGACTGGTTTTGATTATTAGGACAATTACAACCCCCACCCCCCCCCCATAATTTACATCCATAATGCCAACAGCATGTTATATGTCCATGAAGCATGTATGACTGAGGCTAAATTACAACCATGAATTGAGTCAGTACAGCAAGCTCTGAATCTTAGTCTGAAGCTGATTTTATAGAGATCTTTCAAATTCAATTGTACAGTAACAGAGACAATATTCAGGGAATATTCTAGAATGCATGTTCTAAGGATAAACAAATGGTTGTCCTGAAATGACTTGCTGATATTTTCACATAAGGAACAATTAACTTCAATAAATACATCATTCTTATATGATGGACTGAAGAAGGAAGGTATTGGACTTTAAACATTTTGACTGTCCCATCCCACCCTATCAGCTAAATAGGTTTTACAATTTGTTTACCATAACTTCAGGGAATGTGACTCTAGGAGCACTGCATTTCAGCTGGAGGCAGAGTACAGGAAAGATTGCACAAGGCTTAAACATGCAAATAGAAATTATGTATTTGAGAGTTGCACAGAAAGAAAAATAATTAACAGAAAATGCGGGTTTCGCCTTTATAAGCACAGACTCATGGCTTTCCAGGAAAGAGAAACCCAAAGCAAAATACATTCAGGTTTAATTACACACTCACAAGTTGTGTTCTGAAGTTTGAGATAGTCAGAACATGGGGCATCATCAGCACTTCAGCTAGCGTGCTGCTCACAGTCAGAACAAGGGGTATCTCCAGCACTTCAGCTAGCGTGCTGCTCACAGTCAGAACATAGACCATCTATTCAGGGGTGCCCCAAGAGATTTTGGGGCCCATGAAAGCATATCATACAGTTCCCTCAACTCAGACCAATCCAATTCTGTTCCAAATTTTTTAGAGCCCCTGTCACGCTTTATGGCACCACTGTATCTGTTTATTCCTCTATTTTCCATAAACACTTAGCCAGTACCGGGGTGTGGGGGGCCTAGAGTCTTCCCCATGAAGCATCGGGCATGCCAGATAATCACAGAGTACACATTCACACACTGTGTAATGTAGAGACACCATGCAGCCGAACTGCATGCAACTGATTGCAGGCAGAAACCACAGTAACTTGATGAAAACCCAGAGAATACAGAGAGAACATGCAAACCCACAAAGAGCAAAGAGCGGGGGTGGGACTTCAAAACCACAGCCTGAATCTCCTGTTCAATGTCTACCTTTCACAACAGCCAAAGAGAAACTATGGTTGCATGCCAGTTAGATCAGTGCAATCGTCTGAGCTCTGAGATCCGGATCATTTCCAGACGCTTCAACAAACTAATCAATAAGGCCAACTCTAATCAACCCACTGATACAGGACTGTTAATCAACACCCTGTCAACAACCTTTCATCTTGGGGCACCTTTTTCCACCAGTTCCTACTGGGAAATGCTACTGGGGTCCTTTTTGTCTCCTCCACCTCCTCTTCCCACCGTGCCTAACATGTCCCTGGCCAGCAGTGCCCTGGAGTGATTCTTGATCATTCAAACATTGACATTATTGTACTCATGTTCATACATTTTAGCAGTGTTTCTCAAACTAGTCCTACCGGGAGCTGGGAGGGAGCAAAAATGTGGACTTTTTGGGGGGTTCCCGAGGACCGAGGTGAGAAACACTGTCTTATAGGAACCATCTGGGAAAGAAGACCTGGTCCGGTGTTCATTGTGAGGTGCAGGCGACAATCCACATAACGTTGCTGCTATTATTGCAAAATAAAGGTGCAAATGTAACATGGCAAGAATGAAGACAGAAAGACGCTCTGTATCGTTTTGTGTTAGTTGAGCCGTTAGCTGATTTGTAAATCATACTTTAATCTGGAACCGGGAACAACAAATGCCTTTACATCTACTGTCAATGATGTGTTTCTGTACCTCTCTGACACAGGAAAGCTCCACATTTTTGTCTGACACAAGCTTAAGTGTGGCTACTCCAGAAGAGAAGGGAAATCTCCGCAATTAAAAATGGTGGGAAATTACCGAAGCAGTGACTAAGAAGCACTCATCTTGGTAACAAATTCATACACAATGGGTGCTATTCACTGGCAGGAAACATTTGTCGTTAACCAATGTACGCCCTAATCATTGCTGCCGGCTTTCTTGAACAGCTTCTGTCTGGCTGCCGCTCTCGGAGTGAGAGAGCTTTTGTCGCGTCCCCTCACTGGGCAGCCCCCTTGCTTTCACGTGGTTGTCTGTGTGCTAAGCATTTCTTAGCGACTCTGACTGTGGACCTGTCTGGAAATTTAAAAAACGAAGTCCTCCCGGTTTCCGAGTCGCGTGACACCAGATAATAGACCACCTCAGTGACCCTGCTGTAAATCTGAGTGTTGTTCCACCCGGGGTCGAGCAGTGAGATGCCGCAGACTCAGGAAGCGCCACACTTCGCTCTTCTTTTCCTTCCTTTCTAGCTTCCTTCTTTCTCGACCTCCGTGCCTCTTCCCTGCCTGTTTGTACCTGGTGTTTCCTGCCAGCTAAGCAGTGCTCACTCCAGGACTGAGGATGCGCCTGTCAGCTGGATGCCTCTGGCGCCAAGAGGAAACTCCGGCAGTGCAAGTCTCGCTTCTCCCAAGGAAAAACGTCCAGTTGACAGCAAAGTACAAGCTGAGCAGCTGCCTCTTAAACAGCAGAATAGTTTACGTCCTGCAGATGTAGAGTTTCATCTCACTGTCAGCCGTGGGCTGATGCCCCTAAAAGTCTTATCTCAGTTTAGTGTTTATTGTGAAACTTGGATGTTCATGCTAGTTACAACAAAGTGAATGATCAAGAATATCTCCACGGTAAGCACAAGGCACGAGGCAATCGATAGTAACTAAATTGATTAACCCAGCGTGTTTTTACATCAAATACACTGACTGTTAATGGTGAGGTATACTTATATAACTAACATCAGTGTTCAGGCTCTAACGGTGTGACTCTGGAAAGTGGAAGAGCTTTAAAAACAAAATACAAGCATTTGCATGTATCCGTGTTTGCCTACTCACCATTTTTCGGGACCAGCGGCGTCACTGTCCGTTCTGAGCTGTCATCCGAGAGCGCAGCTCGACAGGAGCCGCCGTTCGCCGGAGTCAGAAGCCGCGCCTCCTCCGCCGCTGTGGCAGCTGTGTCTGCCGCCTGTCACTCCCCCCGTTTAAAAGCTGCTCCGTCCGGACTCAAACCACCCACTCAGTTTATCTCAGAGTGACTGCTAGCAGACACAACGGAGGACATGACGAAGGAGAGATATGTGCGCAAAAAAACATTTTATCTCAAGTTACACTTTATTTATAGGACCTGGCACTACTTGACGCCTACTATCTACAGTTTTCTAATAGAATAAATGTGTCCACTCCTTTTCCTTTCTAAACCAACCCCGATTACTATATATAGTTATGAAAATTTTTCCACTTCCACACGGTTTACCCATTTTCGTATTTGAGACAGTACAAACGAATCTACTTTCAGCTACATAGATACTTTTGTTACTTAAATTTTTTTTTTATAAATCAATAACCAAAAATGCAATAGCATTACTTTAGGACATGGTTTGCTCTTTATATTAGTATTCATTTCTATCGCTGCAGATTTGTTAGTCTGATTAATTCCTCCTTGATTAATTACAGTATACACTTTGCCGTTGATTCCTGGTGAACACTGAAAATCTTGTATAGATCGTTTACTTTGTATTCGTGTATAAATGTTGTTTGTTTTTATTGCGATAGCCTATTTTGTAAATGCCTCTTTAATTATCGCATTAGGCACCTAGATTATAACCAGGCAAAACACGCTGCGGAAATTAAACTAAGAAAAGGAAACGTACCGAGATGCGGTTTCGGCAGCGGAGCTCTTAAAACCCACCCGCTTACTCCAGTCAGCTTCTTCTCTCACTTTCCGTATGATTGTGGGATATGTGCTAAGTGTGGGATAGTCTATATATGGAAATTTGGGGATCACTCTTATTCATTTAAAGTGCCTTTTGGGGCTGTGCTTCCCACGGTTGCATCGACACTGGGCAGGCTGTATGATGAAAGTCTGCCAGAACGTCTGGATGAAGGTCTGTAAAAGTAAATGAAAATGAAACCAGATGAAAAATCCCCTGTAACTAAAAAAACAGAACCCACAACTCAAATGTGCCTTGTACTTTTAAAAAGAATGCAACCTTGATATGCATAACACCAGCAGCAAACATGGTGCCATCCCGCAACATACAAAACCAGGCACATGCTCATATCTACCATTGGGAACACCAAGGTCATGTCCAAACGTTCTCCAAACTTATTGCTGTACTCAGAAAGAGTTTTTAAAAAATCATAATTTACACTGTACAAGGCATGAAGAATTATTAGGCAAGTATGCATTTTGCTTGTATCTGTCAGGATTGGTGCACATCTGGCCTGATCCCATGTGTCTTTCCTTTGTTTGGCCAGCAGGTGTCGCAGACCATCCTGTCCCCCCATCTGTCTTGTGGACTTTGGTCCCAACTGTGTTTACTAACTTGCCGGGCCATCTTTTCGGTTAACAGGGTAAACTGTCAGCTACTGTTCTAAACTCCCTTTTGATTCTGGGTTTGAGGCTGGCCAGAGGTCAGTCTCAACTAGTTTTTTTTTTTTTGTTTAACATTTGTTATTTTATGTTTTCTTGGTTTATTTGTGTATATATTCCAGTTACAGTCCCTTGTGTTTGTTCCCTGGCTTATTACATTTGGTTTTCCTTCTTTTGTTTCCCTTAGTGTTTGAACCTGTTGTACCCGTTGATTGACCTCACCTGCTCCTCGTTGCCCTTAGTTCTTTATAGCCCACACCTGCCCCTTGTAAGTCCTTGGTATCTATGTACTTAAGTGTTAGATGGTACTGTGTGTTTGTAGTAGTAATTGCTTCCCAGTCTTGCTCCCTTGCCCCATTTCCTGGGGGATATTCCATGAAGCAGGATTAAGGGAAAGTCTGACTTATTTTGACAAGTGAGTCTTACTTAAGTGAGAGTTCCGTTCCATCAACGTGTCTTAAATGAATCCCCGCTGAATTACCATGGTAATTTACACCTGCGAACAAGCCAGGTCCAGACCAGAATGTCTCGCTTAGTTTAGCGTTGTCTCAAAGAACGTCCGACGTTTGGGAACAGATTCCCAAAAGATCGTTCCGTCGGACGAAATTCCGCAACCTTACTATTCATGTCATGTAATCTGTTGAATTATATGTCCTCATTTGACATTATAGTTTACATTATCTGATTGAATGTTTTTGTTAATCTGTAAGGTGTACCAAAATTACATGATTTTGTTTGAGAATGAGTCTTGTACACTCACCTAAAGGATTATTAGGAACACCATACTAATACGGTGTTTGACCCCCTTTCGCCTTCAGAACTGCCTTAATTCTACGTGGCATTGATTCAACAAGGTGCTGAAAGCATTCTTTAGAAATGTTGGCCCATATTGATAGGATAGCATCTTGCAGTTGATGCAGATTTGTGGGATGCACATCCAGGGCACGAAGCTCCCGTTCCACCACATCCCAAAGATGCTCTATTGGGTTGAGATCTGGTGACTGTGGGGGCCATTGTAGTACAGTGAACTCATTGTCATGTTCAAGAAACCAATTTGAAATGATTCGAGCTTTGTGACATGGTGCATTATCCTGCTGGAAGTAGCCATCAGAGGATGGGTACATGGTGGTCCTAAAGGGATGGACATAGTCAGAAACAATGCTCAGGTAAGCCGTGGCATTTAAACGATGCCCAATTGGCACTAAGGGGCCTAAAGTGTGCCAAGAAAACATCCCCCACACCATTACACCACCACCACCAGCCTGCACAGTGGTAACAAGGCATGATGGATCCATGTTCTCATTCTGTTTACGCCAAATTCTGACTCTACCATTTGAATGTCTCAACAGAAATCGAGACTCATCAGACCAGGCAACATTTTTCCATTCTTCAACTGTCCAGTTTTGGTGAGCTCGTGCAAATTGTAGCCTCTTTTTCCTATTTGTAGTGGAGATGAGTGGGGCCCGGTGGGGTCTTCTGCTGTTGTAGCCCATCCGCCTCAAGGTTGTGCGTGTTGTGGCTTCACAAATGCTTTGCTGCATACCTCGGTTGTAACGAGTGGTTATTTCAGTCAAAGTTGCTCTTCTATCAGCTTGAATCAGTCGGCCCATTCTCCTCTGACCTCTAGCATCAACAAGGCATTTTCGCCCACAGGACTGCTGCATACTGGATGTTTTTTCCTTTGCACACCATTCTTTGTAAACCCTAGAAATGGTTGTGCGTGAAAATCCCAGTAACTGAGCAGATTGTGAAATACTCAGACCGGCCCGTCTGGCACCAACAACCATGCCACGCTCAAAATTGCTTAAATCACCTTTCTTTCCCATTCTGACAATCAGTTTGGAGTTCAGGAGATTGTCTTGACCAGGACCATACCCCTAAATGCATTGAAGCAACTGATTGGTTGATTAGATAATTGCATTAATGAGAAATTGAACAGGTGTTCCTAATAATCCTTTAGGTGAGTGTATATACGTGTATAAAAAATGGAACCCTGTAGTCAGTGCTGTGAGTAAAAGCAAGACGAGAAAGCAGAGAATAAAAACCATCTTTTCTTAAGTAAAGCTCTGCGTGATACTTCCATAATATAGAGAACAGAGCTGAGATTGCTGCATAATAAATATAATAAAGCATATAAAATCACGTCTTAGCATTCCAATTAATTCCAAAATAATTACAGTAAAATCCCGTTATAGTGGACTGGCTTATAACGGAATATTGTCTATAACGGACGAGCTCCGCTGGTCCCGGCCGTGCGCCTTTACGAACATGCAGAAAAAGCATCGGATATAGCGGACTCGCATATAACGGAATTTCGCTTAATGGACAAACAATTTGGTCCCCTGGGTCGCTTTTAGCTGTAGTTCTGTTCAGCTATAACGTACATTCAGTTCCGCCTACAAGGCGTGTGGCGTGCCAGTGATATCCAGCGCAGATATGTACGTAGTCGGTATTATTAATAGTCACGCATCTAGTCAGGTAAAGTTGGATTACTACATGTACAATATAATAATTTATACCACAATTAAGTGTGTCTGCTGGGGTGTGGCATGAGTAAATGGTGTCCTGTAGTTGTGTTCTGGGCATACAGCAACTCTGGATGTAACGGACTGTTTTGCCAGGTCCTTTGAAGTCCGTTATAACGGTATTTTACTGTAGAATAAAGGCGCACGCATATTACAAAGGTGGAACATGAAATGCAATGACCGTAATTGGAAAAAAAATCCGTTAAAATAATATGAACAGGAAGATATTTTATATTTTTAGTCACTGTCTACTTTGAAAGTTTACTACTAAAATAGCAAATACAACATACGGTTATTTGTGCAGAACATTTCACACGGATGTGATTTAAAGTATTTTACGGAGATCAAATAATATTATACAGTAATAATGACAGGTGAAATCAACCCAGAAGGTTCCCCTTTGGCTATGGGGATCCAGCAACTGTTTGGTCTGAGTACTTTCTATTTTGAGTAAAACAGGAAAGGGTAGTGGATACATTCATGTACAGAATAATTCAACACTATGGTTACTATTTAAATGGGCCAAAAAGGATCTTACAGAGTGGCGAAAAAGAAAACAAAATAGTAAAGTGCCAGTCAGACGGATGTAAAATAATTGAAAATGCCAAACTTTTAAAATGTGATCACCATACAACGTGAGTGTTTCATGACCAACAGCCAAGAAAATGGATGATGCATGTAGAGAGAAGACCCAAACTGACTGCCAAACATACATGTCAAATTAAAGGGGAGACTTCCAGAAGCTCATTCGAATCAAATGCCACCATTTTTCAAAACTGCAATCTTGAACGGAATCTCCGGAAGTCCTAGGTGCAGTGCGCTATGTGACAAGGTCAAAAAGGCTGAAACACGACCTCCACTTAATAAGGCACACAAGCTAAAACATCAAGAATGGGCACAGTCACATCTCAAGACGAGTGATTCTTGATGGAGTCTATATGCGCTAAAAAGGTGGTTAAGGAGTGATGTGGGCTGCAATTGTCAGTGATGAACTTGTTGGAGTTTTCCAACATGCTGATGGTGTAAAAATGAGCTAAATGATCTACTGCCAATTACTAGCAGATACATTCTTGAAACACTGGTACAAGTAGAAGTCGGCACCTTTCAAAAAGGTTTCAATATTCACGCAGGACAACGGCCCTTCCTGTGATATTCATGCAGGACAACGGCCCTTCCCGTGATATTCACGCAGGACAACGGCCCTTCCCGTGATATTCACGCAGGACAACGCCCCTTCCCGTGATATTCACGCAGGACAACGCCCCTTCCCGTGATATTCANGCAGGACAACGCCCCTTCCCGTGATATTCACGCAGGACAACGCCCCTTCCCGTGATATTCATGCTGGACAACTGCCCTTCCCGTGATATTCCTGCAGGACAACGCCCCTTCCCGTGATATTCACGCAAGACAACGCCCCTTCCCGTGATATTCATGCTGGACAACGGCCCTTCCCGTGATATTCCTGCAGGACAACGCCCCTTCCCGTGATATTCACGCAGGACAACGCCCCTTCCCGTGATATTCACGCAGGACAACGCCCCTTCCCGTGATATTCATGCAGGACAACGGCCCTTCCCGTGATATTCATGCAGGACAACGGCCCTTCCCGTGATATTCATGCAGGACAACGGCCCTTCCCGTGATATTCATGCCGGACAACGGCCCCTCCCGTGATATTCATGCAGGACAACGCCCCCTCCCGTGATATTCATGCAGGACAACGCCCCTTCCCGTGATATTCATGCCGGACAACGCCCCCTCCCGTGATATTCATGCAGGACAACGCCCCCTCCCGTGATATTCATGCAGGACAACGCCCCTTCCCACGCATCAAAGTATTCATATTTCATAGATTAATTATGACTTGGCCCTCATCATCACCTGACTTAACCCCCATTGAGAATTACTGGGCCTTACTGAAGTGTGAGATTTACTAAGGTAGCAAGCAGTTCTGGGAGACGGTCCTAGCTGCTTGTGATCAAATCAACAACTTGATTGGTTTAGTGGAGTAAATGGCGGCTGATGGTTATTGAGAAGAAATAAATTTAGTAAACTGGACTGCATAGAATGGCTGATTGTTATTCCTTAAATAGACTGAATAACTAAAACTATTGTTATTTCTGTTGTTGCTGGAGAGAAAATCCACTTAGTTTCTGATTGCTTTATAATTGTGTACACTGATAATTTTGTTTATTTTTATATGTGACAGACTAATGTACCATTTAACTCTAAATAAAAATACTCAAAGCAAAAGAAAACTTTTGAATTCACTTTTATAAATCTACCCAACTTTTGCTAAAAATATTCTCCAAGAATAGTACTTTCCTAATAATTATGCACACAGTGAAATTCCTAAATATTCTGGGGAAGCATGTCCCCTATTCCCCTTAAGAGTTGCCACTTTTGACCTGGGTATTTTGAAAATCTTGGCTACAGCCCTGACCGGGAAATTTTTGAGAAAACTGGAAATCTGGGATGTTTACATGAATCCATTCAGCAACTCAATACAGAGCAATGATACCCCAACACAGTGCATTTCCCTGGATACAGTGATACACATTGCACTTTACCATATTTCCTATTTCAGCCATTTCTTTTATTTGTTTTACATTTATTCCATAAAAACGCACTTCTGCAGTTACTTTGATGTTTTGTGAGTGCCTATGTTTTGCACTGTCTAATTCTGTTACATGTTATATGTTACTGACTGGATGGTGGGAGTAAGATTTCCTATGTACTGATGTACAAAAGGCAAATGAAGGATCTTGATCTGCAATGATAAACAATGATGCCCATTGATACAGCAAGTTAAGTCATATCACCCGGTCTGCATACTTCCATCTGCGCAACATAAACCGACTCCCTTCCTCACTCCCCATGCTGCTGCCATCCTTGTTCATAGCCTCGTCACATCTAGGATTGATTATTGTAACTCCCTTCTCTTTGGTCTCCCTAACAAGTCCCTCCGTAAACTCCAACTCCTTCAGAATGCTGCAGCTCGGGTAGTAACTCGTACCCCCTCCAGGGAACATATCACCCCAGTCCTTCAACAGCTTCACTGGTTGCCCATAGAACCTAGAACAGTATTCAAAATTCTAGTTCTCACTTTCAAATGCATTTACAAGCTCGCCCCTCCCTATCTGTCTGGCCTGCTTCACATTGCCACCCCATCCCGAACTCTCAGATCTTCATCTTCCACCCATCTTATTGTTCTGTCTGCCCGCCTTATCACCATGGGACACAGAGCTTTTAGTTGCTCTGCTCCCCGTCTTTGGAATTCACTTCCGATATCAGAAATATCGATTCTTTTCACTTGTTTAGGTCAAACCTCAAAACTCATCTGTTTAAGTTGGCTTATTCACGTTAGACCTATTGTTGTCTGATTATGTACATAACTTTTTAATTATTTGTTTTTTATTTGTTTTATTGTTTGTTTTTATGGACTATGTAAGGTGACCTTGGGTTTTAGAAAGGCGCCCACAAATAAAATGTATTATTATTATTATTATTATTAAGTAGGTTAAAGGTGCGGCGTTGATTAATTTTGCTTCTGATGTGCCCTTATTTTTGTCTGAATGTTTCTGGCAGGTTCCCCCACTCCGATCCTGGAGGGTTAGTCAGTGACACAGTTTGCAAATTTCCCGGCTCAAACACACCTACTAAACCTGTGGCCTGTACTACGAAGCGGGGTTACTGGCTTATCGGGGTAACTTGTCGGATTTAAGGTATCACCGTTTAAATGGACCTCATATTCGTTCATTTACATTTTGCCCAGACTACCTTAAATCTGACAAGTTACCCCGTTAAGCCAGTAACCCCGCTTCGTAGTACAGGCCACTGGCATTTAGCTAGTGAGCTGAATACAGTGTGTCTGAGCAGGCAGGCCCTCCAGGGCTGGAATTTTGCCCCTGATTTATGGGTTGTCCAGGAAACTCCCTCGCCTCAGTGCTTCAGCTGAACCTGGCATGGCTGGCCTCTTTGGTGACTGTCTGATACAGAAGTGAATATTTCAAAGGGGAGTAAATCCTTCCCAATTGTTACTGGTTCTTTGTTGATAGTCACCCCTAATCCCAAACACTGGAGAGCTGAAGAACCTGTGTCACGATATTCTCAGACATCCTAGAAGTGACAACGCAATGTGAAGTGCAGGTGTCTGAATCCACGACTCCACGCAAGAAGTTCCCCTGCAGGTCCGGCCAGACGGCTGCGTGACTCTCGGGGTGCAGTTTCCCCCGGCCGGGCGGCACGGTGCCGGGCCCCAGGACCTCAGCACTCCTCCTCCGAGCCCAGGGTCGGCAGAGCTCTTCCCATGCTATATCTTCAAGGGCTTTTTCCCTGTGGTCTTGCTGTAGGGTCATGGCTCTGCCTAGCTGTCCCTCTCTCACATAAACGGCTGCCAAAGAGAGCATGTGACCCCCCCCATCAGCATTCAGAGGCTTCAGTCACTTTTCAGAAGGGCTGCACTAGCACAAAGAAAACTTGTATCCTGGAAGTAGTGTTGATTCATATTCTCGTAAATCCATTTGGCCTGAGTGTGTATGAGCCTCCGCCCATGACGTCACTACTTTGGGTGGCATCGCTCGTGACACTATCCATTGACTGCACCCCTTTATCTCCATCTGCTGTAATGTCCGTAATATGAACAGTGTCTTCTGTGTACTGGCGTCCTGTCCT